CGGGCCGGTGCCCAGCGGGTTCAGAGAGCTAGCGCACCCTGGCCGCGGGGAGCAGTCATGCGCCTGAGGGTTGCTAGAAAAGGGGGCGGGGGGGACAGCACCCAGATGTAGAATGGGTGGTGCCCTTGAAATAATTCCAGGAGCAGGCCCGTAACCCAGAGATGGAGGGATGGAGACAGGGTGAGGAGGGAGGACTGCCTGCCAGCTCTGCTGCATCGGGAGGGATGGGGGTGGGGCGTGATACTGGGGGAGGCCAGAGCTCCAACCATACCTTCTTGTTGGGCCTTAAGCTCTCCAAGGGGGAAACACAAGCAGGAGACAGAGTTGGGAAGGTGTGTGAACCAACCAAGGCAGGTACTGGGCCAAAGCAGTAGGTAGCTTGTGCCGCCCTTCCTGGCAGCCAAGAGACTGGCTGAGCTATATGCCCAAGTGTCGGAGCTCTCAAACAACCTCCTGGTCCCTCCACAGACAAGCATGAAGAACATGGAGAAGGAACTGCTGTGCCCAGTGTGCCAAGAGATGTACAAGCAGCCACTAGTGCTGCCTTGTACCCACAACGTGTGCCAGGCCTGTGCCCGAGAGGTTTTGGGCCAGCAGGGGTACATAGGCCATGGTGGGGATCCCAGCTCGGAGCCCACTTCTCCTGCTTCCACCCCTTCCACCCGCAGCCCCCGCCTCTCTCGGAGAACTCTCCCCAAGCCAGATCGCTTGGACCGGCTCCTTAAGTCAGGTGGGCATGGGGTTTGTGGAGTGGGTGGGAATACGGAAAGACGGAAGAGGGTCAGGGATATCTGTCGTTCTTGGGTGGAATACTTACTGTTCATCTGGATTCTAATGAGAACTGAACTCTAATGTAATAAAAGTCCACTTTTTAATTGAACAGATGTCACCCACCCTCAGGCAGCTGTAATTCTCATCTCTACCTCCTGGGTCCTTCCACAGGCTTTGGGACATACCCTGGGCGGAAGCGGGGTGCCTTGCACCCTCAAACGATCATATTCCCGTGCCCAGCCTGCCAGGGCGATGTGGAGCTGGGGGAGCGGGGCCTTTCTGGGCTTTTCCGAAACCTGACCCTAGAGCGCGTTGTGGAGAGGTACCGACAGAGCGTGAGTGTGGGGGGCGCCATTCTGTGCCAGTTGTGCAAGCCGCCGCCACTAGAGGCCACCAAGGGCTGCACAGAGTGCCGGGCTACCTTCTGCAATGAATGCTTCAAACTCTTCCACCCCTGGGGCACTCAGAAGGCCCAGCATGAGCCCACTCTGCCCACCCTCTCATTCCGCCCCAAGGTGAGCCAGTTCTGAAGTAGGGGGTCTGAAGCGGGAGGGGCATGGTGGTGCTGAACCCGTGGCTGGCATTTGGGCTTCCAAAGGGTAGTGGGCCAGGTTGAGTTTTTGTCTGTGTATGAGTGTGTGTGTGTGTGTGTGTGTGTGTGTGTAACTGTGTGTGTGTGGGGGGGGGGGTCTTAGACCTGGAGCTCTGTGATTGAGAGCTTTTCCAGAGAATCCCAGTTTTCTTCCCTGTAATTCCAGCTCCAGGGGTAACACCTCTGGCCTCTTCTGGCACCCACACTCAAATGCATGTCTCTACACATATACTCACACACACACACATAATTCAAAATAAAATATTAAGGAAAAAAGACAGCCTTGCCACATAGCCCACGCTAGCCTTGAACTCATAGCAGTCCCCTTGCCTCGGTTTCCTGAGTGCACCATCATATCTAGCAGCTCCTGTCTCTAACATTCACTGAACAAATGATTCAGTATCTATGGGTTTCTCATCTCATCTGCTATGTAGAGATGAGAGAATCTACCCTATAATATCTGTACCCAAAGGGCTGTTGATAGGATCACAGGAGATGTCTGTTGCTTTAAAAAGTGTTATCTGGCCAAGCACAGGGGCACATGCCTGAGTTCCCAGCACTTGGAAGGTTGAATCAAGAGACTTGGAAGTTGAAAGCCAGCCTGGGCTACACCAGAAACTCTATCTCAAAAAGTTGCTTATAGGTGGGTGGTGGTGGCGCATGCCTTTAGTCCCAGCTCTTGGGAGGCAGAGGCAGGGGGATCTCTGTAAATTTGAAGCCAGCCTGGTCTACAAATTAGGTTTCAGGCAATCCACAGAGAAAGCCTGTCTCAAAAAAAAAAAAATTGTTTATATGCAGGATGCTGCTATTCTAGAAATTGGGCACGACGGTGAACAAAGATGAGCTACAGGATTATGTTAATTATCATCATTATTGTTGTTACTACTACATGCAAATCTGGGTGAACAGATGCAGGGAGAAGCAATGCTAGTGAAATGGAACTGGCTTGGCCAGTTCAGAAGTGCTTTAATGCCAGTGTCCACCATCAGATGGCACTATAGAGCACCACCACTGTTTCCACTCCCTTCAACCAATTGCTGGTGGGTCAGCACCCTTACACATAACATTGGCTGACTGTTTCACTATCCTTTGTACCCCTAGGGTCTGATGTGTCCAGACCACAAAGAAGAGGTGACCCACTACTGTAAGACATGCCAACGGCTGGTGTGTCAACTCTGCAGGGTACGGCGTACCCACAGTGGGCACAAGATCACTCCAGTGCTCAGTGCCTACCAGGCTCTCAAGGTAAAGACCCAGCACTAACACACACCTCCTAATTACTTGCCTCTGCAGAGCCAGGATGATGCCCATCTCTTTCTTTGCCCTAGGATAAGCTGACAAAGAGCCTGGCATACATCTTGGGAAACCAGGACACGGTACAGACCCAGATCTGTGAGCTGGAAGAGACCATCAGGCACACTGAGGTGAGGAAGGGCATAGACGTGTACCTTGGATCCTGCTTGGATGTGCATGCCCCCATTGCCTTGCTGCCAGTTCAGAGCCCACAGGAGGAGGATGTGTGTGGGTGGAGGCTCTGGTTAAACTTCGTTGGCAAGAACACCAATACCTAGCTTAGGCTGTAGCTAGGGCTGCTGTGTGGGTAGGAGGGCTACAGCTGAGCACTAAGGAGGGCAAATACCTGTAGGTTTCGCTTAGCATGGACACAACCCTGAAGCTGGGGGTGAGGTGAGGTGCAAAGTTTCTGCAAGGCTATCTGAATGAACTGAGGTGGGGATGGACGGTAACAATGGCTTAGCCACCAGCATGCCATAGCTAGTGCAATCCAAAAGTGAACATTAGGGCAATCGTGACCTTTCTTATTGGAGTGAGACATTAAGAGATTAAGGGCTAAGGCAAAATATGGCTGATTAGTATAATGGTGACTTCAGGTTGCAATCACTTGAGGAGCTCTAGGCTCAGAAAGGGCTATTTGCTGTATTCTCTGACATGCAGCAAGAAGGCCTTCCTTCACACACTAAGGCCAAACATTCTTGTTTGCCAGACGCTGGTATTGAGACTGCAATGTGACCAAATAACCAACTACTGAGAACAGCTCTTCCACTAGTTTCCAGCCTTCCCCATCTCTCTCAGCAGCATGGCTAAGCCAGTCCATATATCCACCTGTCACATCATTTCTTGACAAGTACATTGCTTTGGAGTTGATAGTGACACTCAGTCAATACGTGCATCTCCTCACAAAGGGCAAAGAGGGCCAGAGAGATGACC